AAAAGAGCTAAAAATATTCGCTAAATATTTTTCGCACCACTAGTTCTGAAACTAATACTAATTTAATGCCATTTATAGTGATTTGAGCGGATTTTTAAATTTTAAGGAATTTTTCCAAATTAACTTTGGAGTCAAAGCTAAACTAAATAAATGTTTGCATTTAATTAACTATTTATTCAGGTATATTTGTATGTACAGTATTACAAAACTGCATAATACCGTACAAAAGGACATTTGTCATATTTATTATAAAACACAGATTTTTTATTACTGTATAAAAATTTTGATTAATTACTATTTGCGTTGAGAATTGTTTTTGAAAATAATAATATAATAATAAATTTATTATAATTAATGCTAAATTAATAAAGCAAAATCATAATATAATCATACTGTATTGTACTAAAAAACCTTATATAAACTACAAAATATTCTATTAACTACAAATATATTTATAGCAATTATTATATTATAAACATTGAAATAAAAATATTTTCTAACAATTATATGTGAAAACATGATATAATAAAAAAGTTTATTTGTGACACAATAGGAATGTGTTTATAATATACCGGTGCACTAAAACCTGGGCAATAACTGTAAGAATTGAATTCATTTTGAATAAATTGTTCACTAAATCAGATAAAAATCATGCAAAATAAATCTCAAACTAAAAAACTCAATTTCTAGACTAAACTCTTATAAACGCTTTCTATTTTTAATAAACAATGTTTTCATTGAAGAGATATAACATAAAACATTTTGAAGTTAATAAAAAACTAGTTATAAATTATAGCGAGATTTGTAATAAAAAAAAACTAGACTTTCGTTTCGTTTCTTATAATAACCACAAGAAAAGAAAGGAAATAAAAATCGAAACCGAAATATGAACTCAATATTTATGCAAATGATTGCAAACAAGTCTTTTGAAGCCGTGATTAGATATTTTCGGTCAATATTTCATTTCAAAGGTATTGAGTGCTAGAAAACTGTTTACAATAAATATATAGGTTATTGTCCTCTAAATTATTTCAACTTTTTTTCAATGAAATTTATGCCATTTATTCATAAGAAAACGTAAAAATAATTTTACTTCACATTAAACAACATTATAAAAAATTATTTATTAGTCTGAGAGATGCGAACATTATTTAACTAATGTGTTGTAAATCTATTTTAAAAAATCTATTAAAAACACGTAAAATTGATAATTAAAAATAAATAATAAAAATAAAATGTACAGTATAATGAATAAAATTATAAAGCAATTAAATGGAAACAAAATATAAGTCTGGATTCCTTGACACACATTACTATTAAAAGCTATGTTTAAAACCAATAGTCAATGGATGGAATTGTTTATTGGATTAAAAATTGCATCAAAAATAGTATTGTATTGAATGATTGGTGCACTTTCTTCAATGCATTTACATATTTCACAAAAATGACAACAAATTGAAGGTTAGAGTCCTATAAGTGGGTCATACAAGTGGAGAAGCAGTCTTGGGATCAAACAATGCGAGTCATAATTGTATAAAATAGGAAATACTTAAAAATAGTATAATTTTAGAAATTTAAGAAATCAAACATAAATCTAATGTATGATTGATAGGCAGTATTCGCCATAAGCTATGAAAAACACTTTCTTGAAAACCGGATTCAAACAATTTGACTCAAATATAAATTGAATTCTCGTTTGAAAGTAATCACAGCATAAAAACATAAAAACCAATAAATGATAATACGGTAAGACTATTTCGTTTATGAATTGATGTCAAATTTAGCAGATATTGTGCCATAAAGTTATTGATGCACTCAAGCCTTTGGTAATTATATATCAAATTCTAGTCAACACTTGTAATCAAAATTCACGTTCAGATAAATTGAGATCCGTATTGAAATGTACGGAATAATACTCATGGAAAGTACAGCACAATAACTGCTTGCTTTGTATTAATATAAACATTTTAATCACAAGTAAATATGAATTAAATATTTAGTGAACTTAATTGCCGGTAAGAATAGATGACAATATAAATCAATATAAAAATAAATGTAAATCTATTTGTGGAATAATTATGACTGAAAACAAAATATTTCCAAATTCTTAACGACTAATGAATAAAAATAAGTTTTAATGAGCCATTAAATTAAAAAAATAAAAATGTGTTAATTATTGTGAAGTTTTTAAGTGATGTATATAATAGGATAATGAGAATCAATGGTAAGACACAAACAATTTCATTAAGAATTGAATCTATGAGTGAAAGTAAAACTTATGAAAAGAGTTGTGGAATCGTTGGGAAAACGGCAAAAAAACTAATAAAATAAAAGTAATTAAAAAAATAAAAATGAGAACAAGATTTTCAATTGCTATACACGTTCACAATGAACACAATGTTGTAAACTATATTATACGGTATATAATGAATGTAATAGTGTTTAATGAAATGAAGTCACAAATCAAACAAATATTTAGTCCAATATTAACTCAAAAACTAATTTCAATCTAAATATCATATTATGATAGTATGAGAGAGTAATTAAGAGATAATGATCGCCACATTGCAGTGATTGTATGGATGTAGTGAATGGTGTTTCACATGTATTCAAGTGGTGTGTCATATGGACTCACATCTGATGGTATGGAATGAGGTGTTGGCGCTGTCTCTGTCTCTGGAGGTGAGAGTGGGCCCTAACTTGAGTTCGCGGATCTCATCGCCGATTCCCAAACGATCTGTTATGGCATTCATCGCATCAATGGTATCACCATTTGGTCGGTTGGCGCAGCATTTGATCACTTGATGCCAATCACCAGACAATACTAGTGTTGACAGGAATTACTGATTCATCCACTTCTTCGGTGGCATATGTTTTGCTCACAATTGGCTCACAATTGGCTCACAAGTCAACCAATAATCACACAAATAGTTGGATATCTATATCAACAGACAATACATTCATATGATTAGCCATACAGTGATTAACTCATTAACACCTATACTATAGGCTATTAGCTATCAATCAAATGTCGATTTGATTTGTAAATACTTTTCATAATCAAAAACTTATCATTCATTTTACAAATGAACTAAACTTTTGTAGTGTTTATCAAAAGCCGTATTTCTTATCAATACTCACATAAATAGATGTATAATATTAGGCAATAAATTGATAACAAATTATAAAATCAAACGAAACGTTGAGTAAATGTGTAATGAAATGAATATAATTAACAAATCCGTCGAAACAGCAAATGATATGCAAGTGATTGAAGCGATTGTACAATAAAAATGAGAAAATAAGTCGTTTTTGTCTTTATATTTATATCGCAATAAATATGTGAATGAATGGCAAATGTGGTCAACACTGGCACCATCTGTGGGCCAATGCATGCCTTATGTTGTATACAAACACTGTATGCAAACACACGTCTCACTGACGTTACCGTTAAGACAATTGCTATCATTTTGTGGACAATTGGCACAAATCATCGCAAATCATGGGAAAGGGATTCAATAACTTCATGTGTAAGAAGCCCTTCCATCCCGCCTCCAGAGATAACATCAAAAGGGTTAGTATTCATACAATGATCACCACAATAGTGTCCATTTCATAATCAAATGACAATTACTGTTGACTAACATATGATACCATTGATTGTGATTTGGATATTGAGCTGACATTTGGACAATACTTTGATATTAATGGATGTGATTGTGGTGTAGGTCTGGATGGCTGAGCAGAGGGATGCGGACAACAAGAAGAAAGAGGACGAACTGAGGGCCCAATACGAGAAGGAACAGGACTTATACAACAACAGGTATGCCATCACTGGTCA